CGAGCAGAAAACAAAAGCCAGATCATCTTACTATAAAAATATCGCTTCTCAGACACAACGTTGCACAAAAGTGACATCCACGGTGCCAATTTATAATTGTAACGAATAGTATTTGAATAAAAACATTTAATCGGGTAAAACCCGGGCGTTGCCCGGGTCATTCGGCTAGTATATTATAATAAATTGCCAAAATAAATTGTTTGTTTTTTAACAGAAGAGTATTATTTATGCCAATGGGGGGTATGCAGACATCTTGGAAGATAAAATTAAACAACTTTAAATCACTACTTAATTACACTGGTGAAATATTAATTTGAGGAAGTAATACCTGAATTGAGGGAAGGAAGACAAAAGACTTGATTTCGTATTTACATATTTACAATGCATTTACATATTTAAAAGGTTATCGATCTATGTAAGATCCTTTGTTGTCACCTTGGATGTTTTTTCCCCATCACGCACATTTTTATTCAGTTCCGACAGTTTTTATTAAGTTTGGTTTCCATTTATCTTCGTTTTGTCGGAATTGATAGAACATTTGCCTTGGTTTGAGTTCTTCCTTTCTTTCTTTATTTCTTGCTTCTTGTTTGTAATCACACGTTTCTTGGAAGATTATATTTCTCTTTTTTTTTTTCTCTTTCTTTAAAGCGTTAAATGACTTATGAAATAATTCACATTTTTTTCCTTAAGATGCTATTTCCTCCGACATACCAGGTTTCAACACAGGTCAATATTTCCACATAACTATTTCAAAATGTATGTGTTTCATTATTTTCTGGTTCTTTTATTAGCTGTTGTAAGATGACATTTAAAAACCCGTTATCTGAACACGAAATCAGCTTTGGCGTCATCCATGATACAACAAAGAAGAAGGGACAAATTTTCCTGTTTTTTTTTTTTTTTGTTATCGTGTCCAATTAAGAGCCTCAGATGACTCCATGCTTCTCTATCACAGCAGTCGCAATGTTCTCTATCTTGGGTATGTAAAGTTCTGTGGGTCTATGTCAATTTTCTGCAATACTGTGGCCATTGCTGGACATGAGAATATGTAGGTAGGTGTTAGTTCTACACCAGGACAATTGTCCTGTAGGTTCTTGTGCCATCTGGATGTCATTCCTTTGTAGTGTTTAATTCTGAGTCTCGTGATTGTTTTTGTTATTCTTCTCTCACCGCGCGCGCGCCACGTGTGTGTTTATACCGCATATTTGCCCTTTGTTTACATTTTGTTTAATTGTCTTGGATTTTGCCAAAGCATCAGCGTCAAATACTGACTCTTGGCTTCCTTTTCTAATTCATCTGCTATATCATTACCCTCGATCCCAACATAAACAGGAATCCATTGTAGAATGCAGTTTTTCTCCAATGGTTCCAGTTGGTTTAGTAGCGAGTGCATATTTTGTGTGATTTTAGTATTCCCCTTCTGAATTGCTTCTAGTGCGGATCTGATGTTACTGTATATTACAATTCCTTTTGCTTGATGCAGGGATGGTTGCTTCAGGCATACATCAAGGGCTTTCCAGATAGCTGTCAGTTCACAAGCGAAGTTTGACGAAATCTTTCCTGCTCCTTCTTTGATTTTTATGTGTGTTCCATCTTGCAGTATTATGTTAACTCCGGCCCCTCCATTATTCAGGGAAAGGTCTGATGATCCATCTGTATATGCTGTTAAATAATTTCTCTGATCGTATTAACCAATTGTGTCAAGTCCTTTCTTTTTAAGTATGTTTTTGTTTTCTTTTTTATTGCAGGGTTCATTCAGGCTAAGATTGGTGATTACATTTGATGGCAATGGGGTAAGAAATATTACTTCTTGAATTGTAAAGTCCTTGTGTTTCATATTTATGCCCTTTCTAATATTGTTGTCCTATTGAAGTGATGAAGATGTTTTGAGTCTTTCTTTTTGTGTCCAGTTTAAATAGGTTTTATGGGATAGGTTTCTTTACTTTTCAAGCTATTGGTGAATTTTATTGTTTTTAATTGTCTTCTGTTTTCGAGTAGGTCTAGACCACATTCTGAATTTTTTCATTGTTGGTGGATAAAACAGCACCAGTGATTATTTTGGCCGCTTTTGCTTGAACACTGTCTAGACTTCCTTTTAGTGATGAGCTTGAGGGAGCCCAGACAGGTGTTGCATATTCCATTATTGGCCTTATTAAGGTGGTATATGTTGTTCTGAGGGTTTTGGGTTTTGCTCCCCAATTTGTTCCACATAACCTTCTTAGAATATTTAGTTTTCTGGTAGCTCTATTTGAGGTGCTAATTATGTGTTCTGTAAATCGAAATTCCTCATCAAGTATCACACCTAGGTATTTTGGATTTCTAATTTTATCAATTATTTGGTTGTTTATGTTTATTTTGGGATTAAATTTATGCCAATTTTTCCTGTCAGTGGAGAAGACGCATAGGTTTGTTTTTATTTGGGTTTATGGTCATTTTGAGTTTCATTGCCCACTTCTCCAGTCCTTTCATTGATGTGTTCAGTATTTTTTTTTCTTCTGATTTTTCAATACTTGTGTGCTATATCGTCCCTACAACTGCAAACTATCGAATGTGAAAAATTCAATTTTGAAGGAGAGAGAAATGAAGAGACCATGTCATGGTCTCTTCATTTCTCCCTCCTTCAATGCCTTCCTCTACTGAGGGTAGGCCACATGGTCTCTTCATTTCTCTCTCCTTCAAAATTGAATTTTTCACATTCGATAGTTTGCAGTTGTAGGGACGATATGGCTATTTCATTTGCATAACAGGTGACTTTTGTGTCTTCAGTGAGGTAAGAATGCATCTCTCTGAATATAAGAAAGATAAAATGGTAGAAGGTAACAATAAGTAAACAAATAAAAAAGGTATCTCCTGATTATGCAATTAAAAGTTGTTGATGGCTTGCGCCATCTATTGGAATAAATATCAACTATATAATCGTTGATTTTTTTTTTTAATTATCAATCAAGAAAGAGTATTTGGCACCAAATCTGGAATAATTAAAAATACACGATTAGTTGACACTTATTCTGACAAATGGTGCAAGCCATCAGCAACTTTTAGTTGCACAATCAGAAGATGTATTTTTTCTTAATTTAACCACCTGATCCCAGTTCAATTTCACTTTTGTAAAAAAAAAAAAAAAACATTTTAAAAATAAGTAAACAGTTATATATATACACCTATCCCCCGATTTACACGGTAGATACGTTCCTGAGAAAAACGTGTAAATCGAGGGATAGGTGTATATTAAACTGTCAAATCTGAATAGGTGTTTGCCCCCTCATGAATCAAAGCCTCCCAATATTCTTTTCAACATAGGTAGTATAGAGGAGAATATCGCATTTTAGTGCGATAAAAACAGAAAAAAAAAAACTTATTTGGAAAATCGTGTAAAAGCGAAAACGTGTAAAACAAGTACCGTGTAAATCGGGGGATATAGGTGTATATATATACAGTGTTGGAGTGGAGAAACACGGCGTATCTCTTAGATATCTTCGTTTTCCATAAAAAATAAATTATAAACGATATTTACATATTTTGTGGCGAACTGTGCAACTGGTTGTACAAGTAGATACATTCTTATCGGCGATGGAATAAGAAAGAAGCTTACAAATCTGTGACTTGTTTGAGTAATAGACATGTGAATCTATTTTCTTCTGAAGCCGTTAAACACAATGATGGATACCCAATTTTGTATTTTATATTGTGATAACTCACAAAGTACAAGTCTTTCTTTCATAACACGTTCCCAACCATGTTTTATAAAAAACATATCCTTTGTTATATACAAGGTCATTTGACACATTTATATGCAAAATAAATTCATTATTTTTAGACAATGTCCACTTTGCATAATCGTTGTTAACGCGTCTGATTATAGAATGGAAAAGGGGGGAAAAGATTCTTTAATCAACTTCTTTTAATTTTTTTGTAACAAATAAGTTCACTGGCAATGTGTTTTTCTTTTCAATAATATTGTCGCATTGAAAAAAATAGCCGCGAGGAGAGGTAAACCGAACTTTAATCTCTCTAACTGTCTACCCTAAAATTGTATCCACGTGCATTTATATAGCTATGCCATAATTTAAAAAATATGTAAATCAATACAATCAAAATTATGTAAATAAATTAACCACGTTACAATATCATCAAATATTATTTCTACAGACCTTACTGCAATGATATAAGTTATTGAATGAGAGGGCTTGGCTCATCAGTAGTGAACCCTCTCAGCGATTTCGCCAAATTAATCTCTAGACCGCTCTACTATTGTATTGGATTGGTTTTCTTATATATCCTGCTTTTTTTGTATGGAAGGCAGCTTAGGAGTGTTTAGTGAACCTATGGACATAAGCTTATATGTCTTTTAATTTACATAGTCTTTCAATTTAATATGTCTTTTTATTTAATATCTCTCTCAACTTACCTATATTTATCATTATATAATCATATTTATTCATATTATATTTATTCTGTAATTAACCATATATAATCTTACTAGCGGATGTGTACCCGGCTTCGCCCGGGTTTTATCCGAGTGAAAGTTTGCCTAACGAATATTATATATTATGAAGTATAATAAACAATGTTAAAGATTAGTTTTAATTATTAATCAAGATTGTGTGTGAATATGTGAGAAAGATGTAATATCGTTGTTGTTTTCTTGACCGACTGTTTTACATATGGTGTTATCTTGAAATTGCTTGTTTTGAATATTTTTTTAGATTGAGTTGAATGAATTGCTGAATTTTTTTTTTGTATTTATATATAAATAAAATTAACTCTGTTGATTTTTTTTTTGTATTTAATCGATAACAGCGAAGTTACGCATGTTAAAGTTAGGAAAAATATTTTGATGTTAAGCAAAACCTGCTCCATCTCGTTTTACATAAATGTTGAAAATTTGGTCGAAATTGATGCATTGTAACGAAAGTTTTTAGCGAACACCACTTATGAAATTTGCATTTTATTAATATAGATATAATATAAATGAGTTTTAAAAATTGTTTTAAAAAAAATGCATCGGCCGGGAATCGAACCCTGGCCGCCCGCGTGGCAGGCGAGCATTCTACCACTGAACCACCGTCGCGACCAGTGCTGCGCCCTAGCGGTAAAAGACTGGAACTAACGCTTTTTGGTTTTTTATTTAAAAAAAAAAAGCACATTAACTTTTTTAGTTTTTTGAATAGCCTATATGTTAAACGAAATCTTCAGCTACCTACATGCGAAATTCCATAATGATTGAGTCAGTAGATTTTGCGTGATGCGATAACAAACATCGATTTCGCATTTCATTTATACAAGGTATGTCCCATAAGTTCCCGGACTGGGTCCATAAAAAAAAAGGTAAGATTTTTAAAATTTTTTTTTATTAAAACTTTTCAAAGTAATCCCCCCTTGCTTCAACGCACCAGTGCCATCGTTTCTCCCAATTGTCGAAACAGTTTTTATAGGCCTCTTTTGAAATGCTATTCAATGCCAGCAGCGATTTTTCTATTATGTCTTCCCTGGTGTCAAAATGTCTTCCTTTTAGAACTGCTTTAAGTTTGGGGAACAGGAAAAAGTCATTTGGTGCGATGTCTGGGGAATAGGGTGGTTGAGGTAGGATTTCTGTCCCGTTTTTCGCCAAAAAACTCGTCACCAAGTGCGCTGTGTGAGGGTGGGCATTGTCATGGTGTAGGATCCAGTCACCATTAGTCCATTTTTCTGTCCTTTTTTTTCGAATCGCTTCCATTAGACGGCGAAGAATGCTCAAATACATTTCCTTAATAACTGTTTGGCCTGCAGGAAGATACTCGTGATGAACAATGCCCTTGTTATCCAAAAAAACGACCAGCAACACCTTGTTTCTGGATTTCAATATCCTGGATTTTTTGGGTCTAGGCTCACCCTGACCTCTCCACTCGGCAGATTGAGGTTTGGTTTCAGGGTCATAGCCATAGACCCATGTCTCGTCGCCTGTGATTATCTTGTCTTTCCATTCCGGATCCGTTCTTGTCATTTCCAGCATGTCCTCACAGGTTGCAAGCCGACACAGTTTTTGCTCATTAGTGAGGAATCTTGGGATGAATTTTGCAGGAGTCTTTTTGAGCCTCAAATCTTCGGTTACGATCCTTCCAATCGTTGTTTTAAAGATGCCTGTGTCTTGCTATAGCTCCAGAAAAGTGGTTCGAGGATTTTATTTTATCAAATCGGTGATTTTTTTGCACATTTTAATCAGTCCTTTGAAATTTTGGGCGTCCTTGACTAGGATAATCTTCAATGGAAATTCTGCCAGCTTTAAATCTAGAATGTCATTTAAAAACAGTTGTTCTCTTTGGGGTGTCATTGGGAAATGCTTTATTAAGCATTTCAAAAGTTTCGGTTGCTGATATTTGAAGTTTCACGCAAAAATATATGCAAATCCTCTGCTTCAATTTTTGTTCCATCGTAAAATCGCCGCAGCGCAAGGTGTAACCTTTAAATAAATTAGAATAACTTTGGCGCACGCGCACGTACCGCCTCGATATTGGTACCACCGTGTTGCCAGATATTTTTTCTATAATAAACTGTCAAATTTATTTACATTTTTCATTTATTTATTTTTTTATGGACCCAGTCCGGGAACTTATGGGACATACCTTGTATATATATAAGGATAAGGATAAGGAAGGATATGAACATTGTAATAAATCAGTTTTGATCTCAACCTTCTCAATTTACATAATACCCCCAGCGTATCAATGACCTTCAGGGGAATGAGCAAGATACAAAGTGATTGAAACGTCTGGAAGTAAATAAATAAAAAACCGTTGACGTAGCTGTTTCTTTGTTTGACACGTTCCCAAACACGTTTTATAAAAAACATATCCTTTGTTATATATACAAGGTCATTTGACACATTTATATGCAAAAAAAAATTCATTATTTTTAGACAATGACCTCTTTGCATAATGGCTGTTAACGCTTCTGATTATAGAATGGAAAACTCTAGTTTTTCGAATCTTGAAATCTTCGTTATTTCCTAAATTAATAGTTGTTGGGCTACCTCTTGTATTTCCATGGATTCTTGGCTGTTTTTCATACATGTACTACTGTCAAAATTTTTGAAAATGGGTAAAATAAAATCAGTATCAGCGTTGCAGAGACGTTTACAAATTATTATTATCCCTAGGTACAAACACACACACACACACACACACAAAACGCGTGGTATAGGCCATGATAATCATGGTGGGTAGTAGTTACCGACTGTTTTTACTGTAAGCACACCACATGTCTACACATGCGGAAAGCAAATAGACCTTTACACTTATAAATATTTGGAGTCAAAAGGCGATCCCCATTGGATATATATTTATATAAACTGACGTACCTGGATCTGTTAAAAAAAAATTTTCTCAAAATATCAGAGCAATCCCTCGAAATATTTTGAGCAGAAAAAAACGTACGTCTTTTATATAAACTTACAAAAATATGCCAAATATTCGTTTAGTATTTACATATTTACATATGTAGGGATTTACATATGTATAATTTACATATGTAGGGATTTTATTATTATTATTCCTAGTATACGTTGTACAGGCCATGATAATCATGGTGGGTAGAAGTTGGCGACTGTTTTTACTGTAAGTGCACCACATGTCTACACATCTGAAAAGAAGTTCGACTTTGCACTTACAAATGTGGCAGAGCCCCATTTGGTTACTTGCACTCGGTGGTGGGGTTGGACTTTAGCAAGAATCGGGGGCCAAAAAGTGTCAAATGCGGGATTCGATCCCGGGTAGAAAACCAACGGTTTAAATCATCCTCCCACCGATCCCCTATGTAGGGAATAAACTGGCGAAACCGCTGGGAGGATTTACCAATGAGAGACCTCTCTCTCTACCAATTTATATTCAGTTTAAGTATCGTAGCTTTAAATGATGTTTATTAAAGTAATAAATTGACGCTCCCGGAATTTTTATATTTCCTTTATTAGTGTTATGTCTGTGAGAAAATATTTTTATTATATACAGGGTGATCCAAAAGTCCCGCACAACTTTAAAAATTAATAACTCCGCGAATATCTGCGCTAGAGCAATGCGGTAAACACCATTGTGTTCAGGATGCAATGGGATTTTTTATGGCAAATAATGAAAATTTCGAAATTGATTTTAGTTACAACTTTATTCGCTAGATGGCGCTCTACCAGAATCAGAGATTCAGCGGCCAAATTGTTTGATAAATTGAAAAATATAACCGAACGACACGTACTTTTCCTTTTTTAATACCAGGAAAAAACCCTAATAATATCAAATGATAAATTAATAAAACACCATTACGCCAAAAGTTAGAAGAAATGGTTAACGATTTTTAAATACAATCTGAGATATGTAAAATAGGTATATGCAAATTAAAACATGTAGCAAAAAATATTTATATTTTAGATGGAGTTTTGTGAAATAGAATGAATGTTTGAAAATAACTACTGATATCAATACACGATTTTTGAAATGTTAATATAGTACCAAAAATTATGATGGCACTACTAATAGGATTTCGTGCTATAAGGAATGTACAGTTTCTTGACTAATTGGCGACACTTGACTATTTAACTGGATATTTGTCATGATACAAAGATGAAATATAGAGGGGAGTGCCAAAATATATTTGTCGTACTTTATTCCAAATAGCCTATGGGTTTGTCAAATGTTATCATTGTTTATTATACTGTACATAATTTTGAAAATGTATCCCCTCAAAAAAAAAAATCATTTTTAAATCGACCTTTTGCGTTGAAAAACGTGGTAGCAAAATCATTTTGTATTATTTTTTGCGCAAAATTTCTAAAGTTGGGGGGGGGGGGGGGGGATACAGAGAATATTCCTTATGCTATTTTTTCTAATGGCGAAAAGGGATAAACTAAACATAAGGGTTAAAATTGTGTATACCAGTGTTATTCGAGAAGTTATAACACTTTGGCCTGCACGACATAATATAAGATGTGGGCAAATGATTAACAAAAAAATTACTGTTCACAGAAAAAAAAGAGTCAAGATGTGAGGACAGCATTTATTATTCCCATAACCCAAAACAAAGAGCTGCAAAATATAACACATTAGGTAACTGCCTTCTCTCTTGTATTAGGTCACAATCCTTGCTCAAAGTGGCGCCCTTCATTCTCAAACACCGCCTGCAGACGATAGATGACAGAATGGTCACAATTAATTAGTTGAAATTTATAAAACGTGCCATCTGATAGAAGCCTTCAACATGGCCAATGTGGTAGGCCGGCATCGATAAACACACGATTTAATGTACCCCCATAACCAAAAATCGCAAGGTGTCAAGTCTGGTGATCTTGGAGGCGACTGGTATATAAAGTGGCGACTTATCACACGATTTTCACCGAAGGTATCCTTTGGCAATTGTTTGGCACCTCGGGAGATATGAGGAGGTCCTCCATCTTTCATGAATGTTATTTCGTTTAGTACTTGTCTGCCCTGCGATATGCAAAACCCTTTTCTCCTAAAAGTTGAAATTAACGTTCCCCAGTTACAAAAACGGGCTTAAAAGTTCTTCCTTTGATTTTTTCAAAGGAAAATGGCCCAATAATAAAAGAAGATGTGAACCCACACAAAACTGTAACTCTGGGCTGATAAAGTGGCATTTCTGTAAAATTCCTAGGGTTTTCTGTTACCCAAATGCGGCTGTTTTGAATGTTAAATTCCCCCTTTATATAAAAGTGAGCATCATCTGTCCACAGAACATTCGACAGCCAGTTTTCATCAATATCAATTTGCCGGAAAACCCATGCAGCGAATTCTTGACGCATCTCAAAATCGCCAACTTTCAGCTCGTGAAATCTTTGAATTTTGTATGGGTACACACAATAGAGACATTAAGTGAAGCGTCTTCGGATATCACAATCATACTCGGCGATTTTAACGCCAAAAGTTCAACTTGGGGACCACCTGTCCAGGATAACAAAGGTCAGCAGGTTGAGGACATGCTAACCGACCTCGACCTTACACCGTTAAATAACGGAGAGTACACCTATATATTCAAGTCCACAGGCACAGAATCCGCAATAGACATCACAGCGATAAATTTCAACATCGCGCA